GACTGGCCGCCGGGCCCCCAGTGCATTGAAGCCAGGCCCTCAGAGGCAGCACCCCCATCTTGTCGGCATTGCCCCTTCAAACAATTTTCATGATGACATCTCACTCCTTCTTCGCCCGCCATCGAGCTTTACACCTGTCTGTTGCAGGCTGCACTGCTGTTTCATAGTTCATGAAGGCGCATCTCGATTTTTCTCTTAGACTGCTTCAGCTCAAGTGCGACGCCTCATTGCACTGAAGCCCATAAGATCTGAAGTGAAAGATTGCCATTGGAAGAAGCAAAGCTCTGCAGCTGTTTTCCGGTGCTGTTGCTGCCCGCATGGGCGCTGATGCCGGGCATTTGCATGCCGACTTCCTCCAGGAGCTCTCGGTCCTTCTGCGTAGCCACCATGCCCATGCGGTGCTCCGCCGCCGGGCGGAAGCTTGTGCCCAGGCCGGGGGTCCGTGAGCCCAGTCTGTGGCCCTCTGCCCCTGCACGAGGATTGGAAGTAACAGGAACCGAATGTTCGTAACAGTGGAGTGTAACAGGAACTGGCCCCGATTCCGTCACAGGAACCGGTCGGTTTCCGTAACAGCCCTGCGTAACGGGAACCAGCCGGGGCTTCGGAAAACCCAGACATGTGTTAAGACGGGCTATAACTTTCTTCTCCGGACTCTGCCAAAAGGGAACCAATTTTCGGTCCCCCTTCTTCTAGATGCATTTTGTCGGGCATTAGCGGCGTCCTACCAGCCTGAGACCAAGCCACAGCCCCAAGTACAACTGTGAAATTCTCAACCTCAAATCCTCATTCTGAAGCAAGGGCAGATTCAGGGTTTAAGGTTTTCGGATCCAAGTTTTTGGGATCAGAAGTTGTAATTTCATAAAACAGGGACCAACATATTGTAGTCCCTGCTTGGGCTGAGGACTCGCGATTCTGCTGTACTTGGAGGGTCAAGCGGACTTAGTGAGTATGTTTATAACCCCTAAGAAGCATATGGCAACCTCTGGTATCGCCAAAAGGAAGAAGTCCCCTTGATCCAGAAACTTAAAGCCTAAACCCTGACCCTTAGACCCTAAACCCTGACCCTTAGAGGGTCAAGATCCAAAACTCTGGCGGATCAAGGGGACTTATTCATTATAGGGATAACAGAAGTGGCAATATGCGTTTTCGGGGCTATAAGTACTCTTACTACTACTGCCACTGCTCTAAGGTATGGTGGTATACCAGTTACAACAACTGGTACCTAAATCCTAAAACCCTGAACCTTAAACTCCAGCCAAAACCTGAACCCTTGTGAAGATCCAAAGCTCTGGCTTGGAGTTTAGGGTTTAGAGGTTTAGGGCTTAGATTCAGGATTTAATTTGAAGAGAAGGAGCGTAGAAGTAGTACAAGTGCGAGTACGCGCAGAAAAATGCTAGAATGAGCTACACTCAAGCTGCAAGAAAGGAGTGTAGAAGTAGCGCTAGTGGTGGGACGAGCAGAAAATGAGTAGAACGAGGTACAAGCAAGTTGCAAAAAAGTTGTCCTGGAGGGGGACCGATTTTCGGTCCCACTTTGGGGCTCCGGGATTTCGGTTCCGGTTTCGATTTCGGCTGCTTGGCAGCCTGGTTTCGGTTACGTTTTGGCTGCGGTTTCTGTTACGGTCCCGGCTGGTTTTTCTTACGAGTCCGGACAACTAGTTCCCGTCACGGCCAAAATTGTTCCCGTGTTACACCCGGCACCCTCCTCTGCACGCTAGGCCTGCCGCCTGGTTGCTGCCTCCACCTATGCTTAGCTTCGCCCTGTTGTTGAGGCCGGTCGATCCCGCCTGGTTTTGGTGATCCCGTCGACTCCGGCTCTTCTCTGCCCTACTCCGCCGTCGAGTCCCGATGTCTTGGTTGCCTGTCCTGACACGGTCGAGTCCGGCGCATGCCACGGAGTGCATTGCCATGAGGCGCCCGAGAAGTGGTCTTACCCTAGCCCCGTTCTCTGACCTCCCATGAGACCTCGGCTTGCACCGGTCATGGCGTTTTTTCTTCCGTTTTCTTCCGAACTTAGGAACAGCAATATGCAATAGTGAGCAACGACTTTCTGGGAAGTGTTCATTGATGTTCATTGCATGACTGGCATGTGTCCGTGTCTGTCCCCTGGCCATATTTCACCTTAGAACGGCCACGTGCCGCCGGAAATCTGCCAATGACCCCAGCCTTAGTCATATTCCCAGAAAGCGCCCCGGCACCTGAGGTTACAACGTGCAGCTTGCCTCCTCAGATGGACTGCTCGAGCAGATTGCAAAGATCAAAGGCGAGAACCTCCGAATGCCGCTCGGAGATCAACCCAAACAGAAGCAATCGCTGCCTTTTCCTGCTTAACCCTGTTTCGGACCATGCTAGGTTGGTGCCGCCGCCTCCTCCTTTCGAGCCTTGCCTAGCATGCTTAGGGTTTGCACGGGCCATCACGCCATTCCTTGCCATTGCTGGCATCTGCAAAACTCAGGAGTCCAGCGTCGCAGCCTCGGTAAGTCGCAACGTGCTCCAAGAAGATTTGGGATACAGCTGCCAGGGAACACCCCCTGTGCCAGATGCCCCAGACGAGGTTTGCAGAGCTGAGACCCCGTCAACCATGCACGCCAGGCTAGGATCGGAAGTGCCCACTAGTCTTAGTCACTACTTCCTGGAAGGTTTGTAGAAGCATAGCCCCGTTGCATGGCATCGTCATGACAGCTCTAGATTCGCAAGGGCGCCGGACTTTGTGCCCATGCAGCCCATTGGGCTGACGAGCGTTCCGCCGGCGCCTCTCTGGCAGGTGCCCTCTCCTGTGTCGCATGTGGCTTCTTGCTGCTCTTGCTGCTGCTGCTGCTGCTGCTGCTCGGCGAGCTTGCAGGATCCCCACGTGGTACCTCCGCTCTACGCGAAGGCCTCAGGCAGGATGTCGAGACATTCGGCCTCTCTGCGACGAGAGCCTTTTTGCAGAATTGACATGAATTGACGAATTGAGATCATACTGAGGATCAGTGCCAGTATGATCCTTATGCTCAACGGCACCCGGCTTGCAGTGTTCTATAGGGTCTCACTCGCTGCCACTGGCAGGAGTGTCCATTGGCCACCTTGTTGGAGTATCCCTGGTGATGCCGCTTGCTGACAGGTACCCTCCCGTTGCTCCCGTGAAGTACGCAGCCCGCTGACCACCAGCTCGCTGACCTTTTCGCTGCCATGGTATTTCGATCAACCTCTCTGCACCTTGGCACGTCCATGCGTAGCTGACCTGAGACTGGCTTATGTGTGGACAGCTCGTGTATCAGCTCTAAGTCCGCCCAAGGACTATGTGCAAATCTTCGTGAGTTCAAAGAATTCGCATCCTGCCTGACTTCAGCCCAAGGGTTTCGAGCGGCTTTGGGTTGCTCCTTGGCTTACTGTCGCTGCCTCTCGCAGGGGACATCGAGCCCATGGAATCCAACGTGCTATGCAGGTGAGCGCAATCGTCAACTTTTTTCAGACACGGGGCTAAGATGGGCTAAGTGATGGCGCGGGTTGACCTACAGCACCCTGCATGGCTCGTAGATGCCACACGCCTGTGAATTTCAGGACAAGTAGGTAGGGCGGCGCCAGCTTGGTCCCGAAGGGTCTGTGCGTGCGTCCATCTGGTCGAAACTCGCGCTGGGCCGACGTATGCGCGTAGACCCTGGCGACTGTCGCTTCAGGTTAGTGATCGCGGCGGGAGCTTTAGAAATACTTTCAAGCCCATTTGTGGCGTGGCCATGGCGCCAGTTAGAGTTAGCGAAGAGCAGGAGAAGCAGGTTAGACTTAGCAAAGACCAGGAGAAGCACAGCTTCGCATCTGCAACTTGTCATGGCTAAACTGCTAGATTCCAAGTCTATGCCATGCAGCACACTGACTGGCGCAGTGGCCTCATGGGTATTTCTGAGTCACCTGGCATGATGTGGTCTTCCCGAAGCATGCCGATGGCTGATGGCTACAAGCTGATCAAAACTGCTGACGGTTCCTTAAAGGGTTTGCTGCTACCATTTGGGAAGGCTGCAGTCACTTCACATCCATTTCCTGGGCATGGACTGAGTGCTCATTCCATCGAAAAGGAGGCCGATCCCGCAGCGAGCTGGAGTGATTCTTGATTCAGGCTGCTGACGTGCCGCACTTGCCTGCTTCGCGAGTACTAAAATTGGCCTGTCGGCTCAAGTTCGCAGTATCCTGTCGGTCCACGGTACGTAGGTTCGTAAACCCGGGCGGAGATCCGCCAGAAATTGCCTTTGAGTTGGTTCCACTACTAGCCTTAGTTTGTGCTAACCCGGAGCACCGCATCATTGCGGATTTCCGCTATGCCAATTAAACAGGAAGGCCGAGGCTGTCCGACGCTGATTTCGAGAACCAAGAAGAGGAGAGGGCTCAGTGCCCCGTGGTGGAGAGGCTGTAGTTAGCATATGTTGTTGAACAACGCATCTGAGCTGGATCAGGGAAAAGGGTGCTCCTTGCCTGCTGACTCGGATTCTACTGCGGAGCCGCGCCAGCTTCTGCGCGCAGATGCAAGCCTTGGCAAGCCGTGTATGCTGCTTGTTTGGCTCTGCAAAGAATTCACAGACCTTGTGAGGGGTCGTAGCGGTACAGGCATTTCAGCCCTGAGGGCAAGTGCCTTTGACAGACCAGCAGAACCAGGCCCTCCAGAGCAGCAAGAACAGAACAGATTACACATGATATGAAAGGCTGGCAAGTGAGTTGTGCATTGTCCTTGCTGTGCAGGGCCGCGGGTCACATTTCGTTGGTACCCACCTACGCGCCGCAGCAGGATTTGCCTTTGGTTTTGTGAGCATCCTCGTGAAATGTCCTTGCCAGCCTGGTTTGTGAAGGCCAAATAGGTGTAATTTAGCAGCTCATCTAGCAGCATCAGGAATTGAGCCACAAACAGGAGATGCTAGCGTGCGAAAGATGTAGAAAAGGTCGCAGAAGTCGTTCCTGTTGCCAAAGCAAAGCCGAAGTTTGAAACAACATGATGAGGCAGGACACTCGCAGAGCAAAGCTTCCAGATCTAGAATGACTGGGATGGCACATGCTCGGTGCCCGGATGGCTTCTGCAGTTATCATGTGACGAATTGCTGGCTACACATCGTGCAAGAGGCTGATGCCACAGAGCATGCAGACCCGGAGGTGTTCAACATCGAGAACGTCACCTTGGCAGCATCTGCAACAACCCCCCAACTGCCCCAAACACGCTATGACATGCTTTATGCGTCGCGGAGCTGTGGTTGCCTGTTTGCTTTTGCTGAGGGTTGCCAGTCTTTTGCCCCATTGCATGGCCCTGGTGTAGAAAATCGCACCGCAAACTGTCCACCATCCGCACTTGAACTGAAATGAACTCAAAGCCATGGCCATACTGGCTACAAGTGCCTCAGGCTTTGGAGGCTTTCCTCGCCGATGTGTCACATAGCTGCAACCATTCTTTCTAGCTCAGGGCGCAGGACGAGCTTGCTCCAGCCAAGGGATTGCAAAGAGCTCAAATTCCCACCTTTGGACCCAGATCAGCGCAAACAGGCGCAGCTGCAGCTGGATCACGTAGACTGATGTCAGCTGGAATGTGCTCAGCTGATTTGATCAGTTTCGCGAGTCTGTGCTACCACAAGAATGGATGCTCGCGAAAGGGTTGTATGCAGGCCAAGAAGCTTGCAGAGAAGTATCCAGAGATCAAGTGTGAAAGTTATGGTTTTGGGGAGGAGCGTGCCTTTGCTGCAGAGTGTTTCTGGGCAGCTCTCTGCGCTATAGCGTCCTGCTGGGCAATAGTCGGCAACTTGTCGTGGCATGGTGCCTAGGCAGACTTCATCTCTTCAAGACCTCTGCAAGCTTGAAGGCTAGTCTGGTGAAGGAAGGCCGGAGCGAGGAATCCCTCAGATCCATGCTCGCGCTAGCGTGAGGGCAGCACAGTTGGACAGCCCTCGCATTGACTCCACTTCGCTCTTGTGGTGTGGAAGGTGGCAAGGAAGTACATGGAGCAGAATGCGCTTCGGATCAGTCCACGGTCGTTTCAGGCTGCTGACATCCTCATGTGCGTCGCTTGTCATGACTCAACCCTCTCGCCTTAAGCACGCCATTGAAGGAGCAGCCTCGCCCGAGTCAAAAGAGGACGCATCCCCCACTGCCTTGTTTGAAGACCCTTGGATGATTGTAGCCTGTCGCGGAGACTTGGTTAGCTTGCTCAGCGTGATGCAATCTGCATAGACTGAGGAAGTTGCGGCGCTGCTGTCTAGTCTCTACCAGGTGCGAAACACCTTCATCCACATTGAGGCAAGCCGTGTGGTATTCACGAAGGGCATTTTGGGAGTGCATGGGGGTGCGTCAGGCAAGAATGCAATGTGCATTGTAGCTTTTGAGACAACACGAGTTGTAGAGCTTTGTACCCCTTTTGGAATGCAAAGTCAGCAGTCCCTGGGTCGGCGCCCTACTAGGGACCCGGATTCAGGTGCTGAGATGCTTGCTTGAAATGAAGCGAAGCGGCATCAAGTGGCATAGGGCGTATGCTTTGCACTGCTAGCAGCCCGCACAACCCTGGCCGGGCAAACAACGCATCACAGCATGGCGAAAGTAGCATTACTGATGTGGGCTCATACTCCTGGCGTAGTCAAATACTGGATTGATGGGCATGTGCTGCCATTGTCAGGGCCAGGTTGGTAAGTAACCGGTCCTTGTGGCCGAAGCCGAGGGTGGTGCAACAAATGATGCCCGTAGCGGCCGTAATCTTTCCATTCTGCTTACTGCGACTGTTCATCACATGCTGGCATTTCAAAGCGAGACATGTGACCTGTGCCCTACATGGGTGCGAGTCCTGCCAGGAGAAGGGTGTTGTAGATCAGCGGAACATACAGTCCATGCCCCATGGAATGCACCTTGTCTGCAACGATGCAGTATGCCGCAGGTCATATGATATCATATCATGGCTTGCAGCACTGATGCTTTCAAGAGTCTTTTGCTTCTTTCCGCCAGGTTTCGACAGCATTTGCAAGAGGAAGCCGCCCAAAGCGCACAAGACTACGTGGAAGGCGGACGGTCTCCAGCCAGAGTCATCAAGACGTCAGACGTCTTCAGACTAGCCGAATTGTTCAGCTGTTCTTTCATAATTTCATAGTATTGTTACGCTTGAGTGCGCAGAGTGAGCGCAAGCTCGGCCGCTGTGCCCAGCCTGGTGTGTCTCTTCCTCGGACGTGCGAGGTCCAGCCACTCCAACCACTGCTACGGCGACTCCTACTGAGCCTCAAACACCTACACTGCCCGTCGCGGAGGTCCCAGAGGCGATCGAGGCTCCCGCATCCACTTGCCTGCAGCATTCAGTGTTAGACCATGCGCTTGCATAGACGTCTGTGGAAGGAGTTGGCTCCTGGTACGGAAGTGCTCATTGAAGGCCAGCCGTGACTGCTCTCACCATGTGCGCGAGACCGCACGCTGCAGGACTACAGAAGTTCCCCGCCTTCAACGGCCTTCGTGGGACTATCCAACTCCTAGACAAGGCTACAGGCCGCCGGATCCTCAGCTTGTCCAAGCACTCGGGAAGGGAAAGGTCACCTTCCTTTTCAGAAGCTGTTGAGCCTGTTTTTGGGCAATTTTTGAATGATGTAATTTATGCTCGCTCCTCTATGCTTTTTTGTGTGTTTGCGCTCGAAGAGCAGCAAACAGCTCCCTGATAGAGACTTGGGCAGCATTTTGTGGCATCAACATGTCAGGCTACAACGTGCAGCTTGCTTCCGGCGACGGACCTCTGGAGCAGATTGCGAAGATCAAAGGCGAGAACCTCCGAGTGCTGCTCGGATGCAGTCCTGGCCAGTCCAGTATGTAATAATAGCAGTAATGATGAATAGTATTAATAAGCATAATAATAGGAAAAATAGTAGTAACCATAGGAATAATAGCAGTAGAAAAAATAGTCATGAAACCAGTGAATAGTCTGGAGTGGCCCCGGCCTTGGCCTTTAGACTTTGGTTTGAGTCGATAATCTGAACGTTTCAGGTTGGTGCCGCCACCTCCTCCATTTGACCCTCGGCCTGCGAGGGTGGGGCTTTTCCTTCTCCAATAGTAGTAATAATAGCAATAATATTAGTAATACTAATAATAGTAATGCTAGAGCTATTAATCGTAATAATGAAAAGCGATAGTAGGCCCAGCAGCAAAGAGTAATAGTAGCAGCATTTCCTGGTGTGCACACTGGTTTTCGGCACTTCATATCTAGCATAACCGCTCTGCTGGAATCTTTGTGTAAGCTGAGCAAAGCAGCATGATCAGCAATGCTAGAGGTGGCCAGTCTGTGCCCGCAGACAAAAGGTGAAATTCAACACATTTTCTTGGGCCACTAGGACATGCAGGGGAGCAGATAAATGCGCCCACGGTAGCTTGCGTGGACGTTGTTTTTTCTTGCGGTTGCAGGGACCTCTTGGCCTTCAGGCATTGGTTCTCACAACTTACCAAGTTCATTTTTGAGCAAGCCAGCATTTTCTCCTGCAATTGAAGCTTATCTGGCTGGCAATTCCTGGCCCAAGAAAATGACTGCAATGTTAGGGGAACGCTTAGCAATCGTGGAAAGCGATTACACTAAGTGGACGAGGACTTTCCATGAACTTGTGGTCAAAACCTGGCCTTGGACAAATAACTCCGAAGTCATGTGGTAGTTTCCCAAAATTAGGGGTACCTTTTGGGGGTCCCCTTCAGAAGGATTATAGTAATTATTTTGGGGTCTTTGTTGGGGTCCCCCTATTTAGAGAAACTACCATGTACTGTATCTTGCGCAGAATTTGCCGGTCTGGTCAGTGGGTCCATGATGCGATTACTCCAGATGCCTGTTGCGCCGATTTGGTTAACAAACCTAAGGATGCTCAACCTGTGCTTTCTTCAGATTATCCCAATATTATAACCCCAATATAACCCTATAATCCCTATAGTTTCCATTTTCTTTTCCATTATCCCAATATTAACCCCAATATTATAACCCCATTATCCCTTGGAAATCTTAAGAAATTGTTGCTGAGGCGAGTGAACAACCGTCCAAGATGCACGCGAGGCCATGGGTACGTTGACTGCACCGTGCTTGAGTAATTGGACCATGCTCCTCTGTGACGAATAGGGCAGGGCATAAAGCTAAAAGCAGCTGCCCAGTTGTGACATGGCCGCCTTGCGAGGGCACCCGACTTTGTGCCGATGCACTGCATGAGAATGCCAAACATGCAGCTGAACGCGCAGCCGAGCGTGCAGCCCACTATGCAGCCAAACCCAACTTGGCAGGACAGAATGGGGTGCCTGATTGGAATGCGTATTCTTGTTGAGATGTGCAGGGCACCACATGCAAGTTCTGCGCATGTCTGCTTATGGATATTTGACAGACCCAAGGAGCCCGCTCTGACCATTCAGCAGAGTTACGTTGCAGCCTTAGGACGAAGGAGGTGTTGGATCCTGGTGAAAATTCGAACGCAGTTGTGTCATGGTCTCACCTGCAGCCGGTGTTTACCAAGGATCCTAGCCAGTACTATGCGTACCAGCCGCTTGCTTGTTTTTTGGGGGGGGGCCGGGGTGTGGTAACCATGCACCCTGGCTTCGACGACCCTGAATGATTGATGGGGTCTTAGGGCATAGTCATGCGTTAGCTGAGGTACGCACCGAAGATTGCAGCTCGTTGACTTCCATCTGGCCAGCAGTGCCTTGATGGCTGACCCTGGAAGTAGCCTGAACTACACCTGGTTGCTAGTGCAAGTGATTATGGTGGAAGTGAATCACATCCGGTTCTGAGTTATATGTGGCCCAAAAGCCTACAGACAACTTCCAGGGTCATCTCAAATAAACAAGCAGAGCGCGCGCAAAAGGTACCTCGGTGGCAGGGCGCTCAGATGAAGGGTACTGGCTTCGGCGTGCTTGATTGAGAAGACACACCGCAGCTGCACCGCCTCTGAGGACCTCAATTCCTCATTGTGCACTTGGAGAATGCTGGAATTTGCCACTTGCTCGAGTCTGCTCGAAGGCTTGTTGTGCTTGTTTAGCCTTAGGGCCTTTGCGATGCAGCTGGCCACAAGCAAAAGCACACAGACGCAGCTAGAGACAGAGCATTCTGTTTGTGGATGTGCTTGTTCAAACGGAAAGTTCACTCCAAGTTGCTGCCGAGGAACATGTTGACTTGCCCTCAACCTTGCTTCAGGGCTTTGCACGGATTGTGTTAATTTTTTTGGCAACATCAGCAACCCGCTTTGATGCACTGGCATGTACGCGCTTGCCAATGTTGAAATAAGACAGGCAGCGCACAGCCAGAGATGCTTGCAGATGTAGCCATTTTTAATTCTGGATTTCACATGACCTTTACCAGAGGATGGCTGAGTTCTTTTGCATTGCCTCGCTCTTGCAGGCCGTGGCAGGAGATTCTGAGTAAGACAAACTTGGTCATCCGGCAGGTCATGTATGCATCCCATATGCATCCTTTGAACTAGCTTCGACATCCGCACTGAGCCTCCTTGAAATCCTGTGCAGTACCTCATCGCATCAAAATGGTCAGACCCGGATCTTGTTGCATCTTGGTGACCCAGAAGATCAGATACCAGAAGTGAAGAGCAACTACCTCTGCACTCTTCACATGCTCCCAGCATACGAGCACGCTACACTTCAAGTTGCTTGTTTTTCCACATTGCCTGCCTGCAGCCTGACACAAGCTCAAGCTCTAAGAGACTTTTTCTGATGTTTAGTTAGCCGGTGCATCCGTCACACGTGGGACGCGTGAAGCCAGCTCCACTGGTCCTGTGCCCAAGCTTGCACCTGATCTCTGCATCATGGAAGGGCTGCAGTGAAACAGTATATCGGTTCACGGTTCAATGCCGAGTGTGCACATGAGTCGTGCGAAGCAGAACCAGCAGAGGAGCAGGACCCTTGCGATTCAGCCATACAAGATCTTGTTGAATCCTTCAGGCGCATGACATGCTCATGCTCATGCCCGTGTGGCATCTTCAAGCGACGGCGTAGACCAAAGCTGTGTGCAGAGGCAGGCACGCACAAACCCAACAAAAAGCTGGATTCGCATTGACAAGATTAATTCGGGAAGAGGGTAAGGCCTCGTTGTGGGATGAGGATCCACACTGCAGAGAGGTCCCGTTCAGAGCCAAAATCTGGTGTAGTCAATGTAGACCAGTGTGGAAAGCCGCAATCTGCTCATGGGCTGGCTGCTACTGTACAGGCCGAATCCAGCAGTGACTCGCACGGGTCCGATTCTGAGCCTTGTCTTGCAAGAAGGGCATTCTAAGGGCAGCCCAACCTGCTCAAGGCAAACTTGACGGGTGTATTGTCACCAGTTTGGGAATTGAGGACTCAGCGCTCACCTGGTGGTGTTACAAGCTCAGGACCACTTCCATGAGGATGGAAACCCGGAACCTGCAAGTGGGAAGAAGCAGAGGAGACGGCAAGTTCATCGCATCCTGGACAGAGCAACTCATCTTCATTACATGCTGTACAGTGCAAGTGGTCCGGCAGTACATATTCCTCCAATTAGCACCCGCGCATTATGCATAATTTGAGTCAGACGCAGTGGAGCAAGTTTCGGCTGGCCGCCGGCTGGCCTTGAGTGTAAAACTATGCAGACATGTGTGGGCTTGATGTATGCTTGGAACTGAAAGCACGCTGATGTCAAGGAAGGCGTGGAGTTCCAGAGCCAGGGGATGTTCCACGTTGTGCAGACGCGAAGGACCTGCACAATCTTTCTGCTAGACTTCTTTCACACCGTGCCTTTGCGGATGTCGGTAATCTCTTTGCGCAAAGGACCGAGGGTTCTGTTAGGTTTCGGTGATGCGGAGGATTTGCTGTTCCATCGGTTTTGACACAGCCAAGATCATGGTCTTGTGCACGTGTAACACCGAGGTAATTCATTTACCCTTTCCCGGCCTTTTCGTTGTCACACTCACTGTGCCGCGGGCTCAGAGCATAAAAGCGACATGAGAAAGCAGGGAAGCATGTCCATGTTTCTTTGGTCTGCATGTGGGTCAGAGAGCAGCGTGGCAACATCTGGCAATATCGGGTGGTGCCACCTCAATGCCAAGGTACTTCGCTTGCTTCGCGTTCTTCGCGCTCTTTTGGATTTGGTTCACAGATGTTTGTGACATCGGTCTCGACTCCTATCGAGATGCATTTTACTTGTCGGTGGAAACACAGATGACGATCGGTTACGGCCACTTTACTGCAACCTCAGCAACCTCACAAATAAAGCGAGGGAAGCATGTCATGAAGCAAATGGAAGCCCACATCCTGCACATCGAGACTTTCTCACTAGGGTCTGCCCATGTCTGGCCCAAAACCTGGCTCGCTCGGACGATGTTAGGGACTAGTGACTAGTGGCCATGTGAGTGCTACCAGCTGTTTTGTGCAGGTGTCCCAGATCCGAACTTTGGCGAATGCTGGGAAGCAGTGCCTTGGACATGTCCCAGCTGGTTGCTCCTGATCTGCTAAGGCTAAGGGTACGACTGTACGTAAGACCATCAGGCAGTCCTCATTGTGGTTCAGACGGTGGTTGGCCTGATGTTGGATGCCACCGTGATTGGTGTGGTCTTCCAGAAGCTGGCCAACGCAAACGCTCGCGCAAACACGGCCTTCTTTCTGAACTTGGAAGTGTGCGGGCTTTGCAGGGGCATGTGCATGTCCAACGTATAGGCGTGGGCCAGATGGCAAAGACCTGTGTTGCTGAATTCATGTACACGCCTAGCAGCAAAAAGTCTAAAAGGCCATGCAGCAGAACCAAGCGTTGACAACCGGGGTGTGAAAATCAAGAATCGTACCAGAGGACCCTATGTGCTGTCTCGATGCTCTTTGCTCGTGTTGTGAAGATGGCTAAGGTGATTTTCAGTGACACCGCGTTGCTGGAGGTTGAAGAGGGCTGTGCATACCTGCGGTTTCGTGTGGCCGACATGTTCCTCAGATGGATGTTGCGCTAGTGGAAGCGTGTTCAGTCCTGGGCAAACTCGCTGTGGCTTGAAGATGGTTGAAGATCTCTCCTAGAAGACACTGCAAGGTCTTGGCGTCCATTGTCCCAGGCAACAATGCAGCCTGGTTTATCGGTGCGACATGTTATGGCAGTTCTTTTTCAGTGTCAGTGCTCCCTTGTTCTAAGTAGCTGCGCCATGGATGCGTCACAGGACCTGTAGTTTCACTGACCTTCAATGACTAGCCGCAGACATGCTGCGAGGTCATGCAGGTAATTGCATGAGGCCAGGAGTTGTAGCTGGGCAACCTTGTGCAGCTCAAGTGAATTGATGCTCGTGTGTGCTGTCCAACCAAGGCAAGTCTATTGTGTGCAACACCATCGTGACGAAAGCCAACCGCGCGGAATCCGCGTTGAGCTTGCCGCGGTGCATCTAGAAGAGCCCGATACGGACATCCACAACGGTATCATCTTTCTAGGCCTTGCCAGCGTCGAGCATTTTCAACTGACAGCTTGAGAGACAATCATGAGGGAACTGCAGGGCTAGCGCAACCACATGACTCCAATGACACGGGAGGCCTGCCAGCCATGGTTTCTCATAAGATCAACTATGAGAGCCCACTCTCGCCGGATGTGCCTGCTGGTACGAGCACCGGTCTGAAACTACTTGAGTGCACGGGGTCGCATCGTTTTTGTCCTTGTATTATTTGGGCTTTACAGGTGCTTGGGGTTGTTGGATTCCTGGATTGTACATGGGAAGCCCGGCACTTTGTCCACCAATAGTCAGCCATGCTTCCTACCTGTCATGCGCCTGAGCATCATGAAGTCTGGCATGTTGCAGATTCCTACATGAATGCTGCAGCGGAAGCGTATTCTCAGGACCGGGAGCCCGAGCCCGAATGATGTCCGAAAATATTTGAAGCTTCGCAGAAGCTGTAGACTGTTCACTTTCTTCGTTGCTTCACTCACTGGACGTGCTGCACGAAGTCTGCGTGCTGGATATTGAGTGCGCAAACGCGCGCACACAGATCTGAAGCACGTGCATCACGGTCCAAGGATTGAATCGCCCTATTTGGAAGTCCTGGTCCTGCTAAGTGGAACAGAGGAATCCACTGGAGCAATTGTTGAAGCTCGACATTCCTACACGCTGGATGTGCCCCGGCTTGGAATGTTCCATTAAAGGTCAGATGGGCTGCCACAAGATCGGTAGATCAAGGCATAAAGGGGTAGGGTCGTACAGCTCTTCAATTGCTTGCGGTTCGGGATCCTCAAATGTCCCCACCAGAGCATTTTCCGACAGTCCTTGAATGCATAATGGCACAAGCCAGGAAGCAAGCCTTGTTTTGCACTATGTAGTTTTGCTGTACTAAGCGCATGCTTTGGCTGCATGCCTGTTGAGGACATGTTCTGGAACAGAGCATATGGGACCTGTGTGTCCATCAACAGTGAAGGGTACCACTGTGTTGACTTTCACGCCATCCACCACACCTACCCCTTGTCAGCATTGACGGAGCAGCGGCATTTATCCATGCCTAATGGCGCCATAGCGCATGGCATTTCCCACACTTTTCCTGCGACACTGGATGCAAACATGGACAGCGACAATGAGTGACATTTCTGCGCAACGACCGTTGCGCTGAAAACGGACGGCCAAACAGACTTTTGGAGCCTGGCGCTGCCCTTGCTGCAGTTGCAGCTGTGATATGCTGTGATCTGAGGAAGGCGCCTGTAGTCCCAGGAAACCCCGGGGCAAGGTCGTGCCGAACCTGCCAATCTGGCCCGAAGGCCGGACAAGCAGGCAAGCTGGTGTCCTATTAGTCGCTAAACATCTTGCAGCTCAGTCAGAGCCAACTAGGGGAGCATACTGAAATTGATGCATGGTCAGGAGGCATACTTCGGGCACCAACCATGCCTGTTTACCTGGCCACAGACTAGTCATGCCATAGACATAGTTGCGAGTGCTTTCGTGGAATCTGTTTCTGTTGCCGCAATCCAGCATAGAACAGCATAAGCTATAAGCCCTGGGTGTTTCATTTGCTTAGATGGATAATGACCCCTCGTCTTGCTTGTGAACAGCACAGCTCCGAGACGGGTAGCCGGTAGCCGCTGGTGACAGCAAGACTGGCTCAAACAAAAGATGGATTGGCAAGGGGGCACTGCAGACGCCGGGGGGCCTGTTTAGGACAAGGATGCCGTAGTTGGGCTTCATCATGCTTTGTCATGAGTTTGGTGCCTGCATGACCACTGGCTTCAAACCAGCGAGCGATAAGCTCCTCATCATAGAGAATGCTGCGGCCATGCCACTTGGCAGGGCAAGATTAAGTTGACCTACCCCGGCCGATCTGGTGTGGTTCTGTACGCAGTCAAACCTTCAATTTTGCTGCCAACACATTGACTAGGCTGCCAGTAGCATCCCTTCGGCCCAGGTTCCATGCTGAAGGCAGCCATGGCTCGGCACCCAGGGCTTGGAGACCGGGCAACTTCCGGCAAGCACGTTCAGCATTCTGATCCATGCAGAAGACCTCACCTTGAACTGAAACAGGCCCAGCACCATGTCCACCTGCCACGCCGGCTTCGTTGCGTCCCAAAGGAGCTGAAGCCGATTTCGGTTTTTCATTTGGGATGATGCTGCGGCTGCTCAAGTGGTTGACAATGAGACATCGTTTCCTGGGTCGCCAGCTGTAAAATAGAGGTCTTCGCTCGTGCGTTTGCGGCTGTCATGGGGGAGGTAGAGTAGTGGGTGTGCAACTTTGTAATGGTGGCTGTATGCTACATTTTTGGGATTTGGCTGTGGCATACAAGTTTGGGACATTCAAGACCATGACTTGATGCAGTGGATTGATCTCCATGGTCTGCCTGAGACCCTGTTGTGCTTTACAAGAAGAAGCAATGATCGCACGATTGAGAGGAGATGCTGTGGGCCCAAAGGCGGTCGTGGGAGCATGGAGCGTGCCCAATTTCGGCAAGGGAGACGAGAATCAGGAGCCCCAATTCTGCAGCTAATAGCGCGTTCAGGCCTGAAGAAAGTTTCTGCGGGCCGAGGGCCGAGGGCCCAATAGGTGCATCCGACCGCAAATACAGCCGTGCCCTCCTTTCCATAGTGTTTTGTCATCACGTGCTTCACTGAGCGAGTTGTGCTGGAATGATGTGACGCGGGGTGTGAGTGATGAGCTGCATGACGATCATCCAAACTGCTTGCGCTCGAGATCAGAACCAGCATCGCCACTGCAGCCAGGACGCTTTTGTGACGTCTTGTAGCGAGAATGGAACAAAGTGCTTCGTGGGTGCTTGGTCCCAAGCTTCCATCAATCTATTACAACAGTGACGCGGTGAGACTTGAACAGCCCAACAGTCGGTTCTCCGCAGGTTTTCGACGGACATGGAGATCAGGGCAAGCGCATGTCCCATTTTGCTAAGCAGGCCAAACCAGCACCTGCGTTTCTATCAAAGCAGTGCCAATTGGCAGTCCGAGCCTGTGGGCATTGTGCAGGCGCTCAGCAAGAGCCTGTTCAGCAACACAGATCTCCACACTGAGCCTGTGGCAGCGATACAGGCCTTTTCTCGGTGGATTTAATGAAATTTAGTGCATTGCTTGTGGCGTGTTCCTTAATTTCCTATCGACCAGCAGAAAGAATTGACACTACTAGAGATCTGGGCAGATGACTGTGGGTTCGTTTTGAGCAAGTGCTGGCCAGGCTGCATTCCGTGACACCCAGGCAGAAAGAAGTCGGGATGTTGGGTTTCAGCTGCATACGAAGTCCTTGGAGTCGACAGATCTGGGCTGACTATGGCTTGACTCTGGCAGGAGAAGATCGAAAAAGAGCACCGTCACCAAGCGGAGCTGTCTGGAACCACAGCCATCACAGCTTACCAGTAGCCTGGCTGCACTAGCACAAGGTAGTTTGCATCGGTAGTGCCAGGAGAGACCCGGCATGACAAGCCTAACCTTAACATAACGCGTACAGCGACATTTCATGGTACATCTCTGTCTTGAAAAGTCTCATTGACCGCATGGGGTGGGGGGGGAACATTAAAGGCGTCCGTCCCACTTGCCCCACTTGGCCAACTGGCCCACTTGACGCGCTTGACCCGCTTGACCCGCTTGACCCACTTGCCCGACTTGCCCCACTTGGCCCGCTTGGTCCGCTTGCCCCGCATGCCCCGCTTGCTTAGGAGGGGAGAAGTGGGGCAAGTGTGGCAAGTGGGTTTAGTCGGGCAAGTGAGGCAAGTGGGGCAAGTGGGTCAAGTGGGTCAAGTGGGTCAAGTGGGGCAAGTGAGGCAAGTGAGGCAAGTGGGCGCAGACCCTTAATCCCCCCCCAAGCGCCGACACTCTCAACAATCTTGCATGCATGGCCAAGGCACCGTGATCGTCTAGTGGTCGCGAATGCAGGGAGCCAAGCTCTGCAGTCAAAACATAGAGAGCCAGCTGCAAGTCTGCGCGACACGTCAGTGGATGACCTGATCAAAAGCCGTGAGACCATCTTTGAGTTCTCAGGTGGGGGACTCCAGAGCTGTGCTCGGGCGGTGTAGCACACCAGCTCGTCAAACTGTATCTGCTGTTGATCTCTCCAATGACCAGTACCGGCCACAGCCAAGCTGCTAAGACCACAGCGATGGAAGAATTTGCGCAAAGCATGGCCCGTACAAAGGAAGCCGGGCCGGCCTGACGAAAGACAGCGCATACTCGCTGCTGGTGGGACGGTGCCCTGGCAAGTAGATTGCGTCGCATATGTTTATGTTGTATGCTTGCCCTCAGCTTCAAATGATTGACTCTAAAACAGCTGAGTTTGAGTACTCAACCCTATATTAATGTGGTAGACCCAACACAGCTTAGGGATGAGGGTTGCGTTCAGAAAGGAGGTGTGAGTGGCACTACACACATTGGCAAGACGGCATGCCGCTTAGTCTGGGTATGCAGCAGAATCCGCCATCAGAGGCAGAAAGAGAACATTAAAATCGTTTGCACAAAAAACACAGCAACGCTTGTGATCGTTTATCTGCTGACTGAGAGCGGGTGGCACCAGGATGGGAGGGGAAGGATCCTAGGTGGCTTGGTTTAATGCACGAATAGGGTCAGGGTCCAGAATGGCCACAGATGCAGCCGCTCAGCTATACCCTTTTCAGGTAGACCAGATGGCTATCCCGATTGTCCAGCGTGGCGGCGTGAGATGGATCCGCGCAGGCCACAGCAAACCATAAAGTCACTTCAAAGTGCGCTTGACCTGAGCAGGCCCTGAACGTGTCATGGACAAGCAGGGCACTACACCTAGCACAGCTCAGATGAAAGCTTCCAACTGCCAAGTAAAGATTCTGTGAGGCATGGGAGGTTTAGCCATGTCTCGCTCACTGGGAGACCTGAGGCAGGCTCTTCCTGCATGCGAATTCCAGCAGTATAGCGTGATCCCCTAGCGCTAGGCAGCTGAGTGGGAAGTGTCAACAGCCGCTCCTAAAATCTTCGATGATCGATCAATCAAAAGAATTCTGGCTTGTGATGATCCTAATCCCAGTCTGCCATACATGCTTGGGACCACTTGCCTGCAGGCTTCACCCTTGTGTGACTCAATTGCAATTATCCAGGACATGGGATTAGGGTTCCTGGGCAGTCTAGGCATGGCAGAATGGTGTGACCATACGCCTACGCACTTTCGGCTTCCCGGCGCTTGAAGTTTGCATGCTTCACTGTGAGCCTAGGTCAGCTCGCAACCTGAAGTTGTGGAGCGCAAGCTCGACAGTCGGGATAAGGTGCTGCAAGCTTGTCACCGGTCATGCATGCTGCTGCCGAAAGTACACTATTGAGCGGCAGCAGGCATGCGGTTCTTGGCAGGTGCTCGTCCTTGCCTCCGATGGAGTTTGGGATCATGTATCTTCCCAAGAGGCGTGGTCAAACCGTGAGAACGCACCAAATAAACTACAGCCCCGCTCTTGCGTCCTGTTGCTACGCGGCTTAACAGGCTGTGGAGATTGCAGGGAGAGTTGAGGATCCTAAGGCAGCAGCGCGAGAAATCACTGGTCGCGCTGCCATGGATTGCCACAGGTCAATAATACAACAAGTGCATTCCCCGAGCAGTTGCACCGAAATTACTCTTTTGCAGGTCCCAGGCATCAGTCACAGCCCCTATCCCGGCTCGCACCCTTTTCCTTAGAAACCAAGAATGTACATAGTACCCAATCAAGTGGGCGAGCATGTAATTCCTTTGAGCAGGGACCGCACGCGCATGCAAACGGAGCCAGGCATTGCCCGGCAGCGATGGCAAATTGCAACTGACGGCCAGATGTCGGATGACATCACGGCGGTTGTAGCCTCTGGGATGCAATTGGTGAAGCCGTGGTGTGCGGGAATTCGCTGAGAGCTGGGTTGTCCCATGCCCTTGTAGCGAACTTGAATTTTCAAGGGATCAAGGGCAAACTTTGAGGACATCGATTCTTGCCAGTCTCCCAAAGATAGAGCCCTAATTTCATGTTTTTGAGGACTGCTTTCATTTTGATCAAAGCTTTGCCCAAGCAAGGTGCGCCTCAACGGTGCCGAGGCAGCTTCCCAAGTTCCAAGTGGCAGCATTCCGGCCAAAGAGACACCGACTGCGCAAATGCGGAGGACAACTGCTTCCCATTCAGTTTGCGGTTGTGTTGACAGCAGCAGCACGCACTCGTGTATGCCCGATCTCAATTCTAGCAGGACCAGCATGCTGACATCGCTTTTCGGAGGCCAAACCAGCATTAATAACTGAGTGCAGGGCTCGAGGTTGGCTTTCCAATTTCCAAGCTAAAACCATCGGCATGACCTCAGTGGACTTCCAACCTGTTTATGGTACTTGGAAGGCGCTCCAAGACGCGGAGCGCGCATCGAGGCGCGTTGCAAGCACTGGCTTGCTACGTTTGACCAGTTGTAGTGTTGACGCTGCAGGTGAATAGCCGGCTTCAAGACTCCAAGAAGCCATCCACGCCAGCATTTGCCGTGCAGGAGGCCAAGAGGTGCAGGGACGCTAGAATCTCTTTGCCACGTCGACGTCATATCACACTCAAACCTTTGCTGCCGTTGCTCCAAAGAATCCCCAGCCAAAGGCCACAGCATGGCTTGAGGCTACCAGAGCTCCGGCCCCAGATGGCAGTGCCTCGCAAAGCTGCTGTTCGCGAGCATGTGCAAATCTAACAGTTCGTCAGGTGCCCCCGAGTGCCCGGCGGCAAGACTCGCTCCATCACAGCATCAGGCAATGCTCAATACTGCATGCGAACAGACAGGGCTTCTGAATTCCTATGGCCCTCACACGCAATGTTGGGAACGCTTGTTTCGCAGTCAGTACCGCAGCCTTGCACCTCGCAGCTGCAGAATTTTCTTTTCTGAGGCCGCCGATCAGACCAAGCGGCCGCTGCTTTGAGGACAAGGCAGTGGAGAAACACGAGAATTGCGAATTACCTGGGCGCCTCGAGTTTGGCGCTTCCCATGTCAGGGATCCTATCAAGCTTCTGCAATGTAGTTTGGCTCGCCCACACAGCTCTGATTTGGGCAGGCCAGTCTCGACAGGGCAGGCTGGTAACCCGCCTATTTCTCAGCACAACGTTACCGCACGCACATGTCAATGTCTTTGTGATGTGTTCTTCAAGGCAATTTTACCGGGTCAGCTGCCTGTTCCTACATGATTCAGATGTAGCCCACTTGCTACAAACTTCATCCCTTTATACAGCAACATGTCTGCAATGCAACAGCCAGGCTGAGCCAAGTTGAGTGGGAGGGAATGCCGAAGGTCTGTGTGACCAAAGCGGATGCAAAAGGGGCCAAAATCATTTCTCAGAGCCCAAGACCCAAAAAACAATTACAGGCCTGGACAGAATAGCTACCAAAGCAGCACAGAAAAAGTTGAGACGCTGCTGTAGAGCCTCAGCAGGCCACACACAGGAAACCTGCCAGTGCAGCACCTCCACAAAAGGGCAGTATCCAATGCCTAGGGCAGTCGCAGATATCAGCCACGAGCTGCAAGTATGCTTGGTTGCCAGCCCGACCCGCGCGGATCAACGTCACTGTGCTTTAGGGAGCGTTCATACCGGCGACCTTGATCTGTTTCAGTTAATCTTATGCTTTCAAAAGGCAAAAAAAGAACATCGCGGTGGCTCAAGCCTGGAGGAATGTCACTGGAGGAAGCCATTAAGGTCGACATTTGAGTCTAGAGTGTTGGGCGGAAGTTCGGACTGAACATCACAAACGGGCTCGGGAAGCGACGGAAAGCTCTGCGTTCTTTTTTCAAAAGCCAGAGTCTCTGTTTGTTTGGAACACAGCGCTCACAGGGGTATTTCACAAACAAATTTGAGCAACATCATGGCGATCACCAAAAGGGACGAACACTCTTTGCAATATCTCTGCTCAATGCATGTTTGCGCTTTCCCAAGTCTGATCGGAAGACATTTGCTGTGCTGATGCTTGGGAATTTGGCTAGAAAGTTCTTTTGAATTGAGTCTTTGGAGTTGTTGCTGTTGATCTTGCGGAATCTTGTGACAATCCTTAAAGCACAAATTATTGAACCCCCACTTTTTTTGGCATTGAAAGCCGTGAGATTTGGCTTTCAAGTGTCTGACTTTATTTTTTTCCAGTTCAACTGTCGAGTCTTTTGGATGGTTTGAAAAGTTCGAGTTGTTGCATTCTGGAGTGTGTTTGCTATGAATCAATGGTGTTATGTTTGGGGAGGTATTCTGCAGTTTCCTAGGACATGAGTTGAGGATGTAGGGTTTAGGGCCGGCATTGGTTTTGGGCGGCTCTAGGTTTTGCAAGGGTTGCCTGGTAGATCATGGGGGCCGGATTTCATGGCCATAGATGGGTCTTGGGTTGCTTGCATCTTTCATACGGCCTCTCTAGATACGCACCAACAAAATGCTGTACCCGCAGACCGCGGTGGTTATCCGAAGACGCAGAGTTGCGTGTGGTTGAGAAATTAGCTGGAAAGTTCAAACTCTCAATTTTTTACACGTTTGCTGTTTTGCTTCAGAATTTTACAACTTTGATCTGAATTACGTATGTTTGAGTGAGAAAATGGCTACAAATTTATCTTGCGTTTTTGAATTCTATCATGCTGCGGGAGTCACATACTGTTGAGTCACAATGCTTTTATCACTGGAGGCCTTGAAGATTTAGGTTTCTAGATTTTGAGTGTAAAGTTCCTTGACATCCAGAATTTTCAGGCTTTTGAGTTTTAGAATTGGCATCGAGCTCAGCACGTGATGCGCGCAGATGCGGCAGTGTACATGTGGGGTCCGTGGGTTCAGTACACCCATTTTCCACCCAGAAGTCATCAGTGGGGAGGGGAGCTGCAAAAGGGTGCAGGAAAAAGCGACGGCGCTTGCGGCTGCAAATGCCGTGGATTGGAGTACGCCGTCTGCCCTCTGCCTGAGGCGGCCGTGCGGGTTTGTCCGGTCCTAACCCTTGTCGCCGGAGGTGACTGCTTGGGCAGTTGGTTTTCTGTACAGGGAAAACTGCTTGGCCAAGTGGCTGGATTTTTGGCCCTCCCCCTGTTTGCCGACCCTGCCCGTACTAAGCGATGTTGCTCTAGCAGCAAGATTCCGTGGTGTGAGAAGAACAACAGTGGACCCCAGTCGGCTCGACCCCGAAGCCGCTCCTTGATGCAATGTCCAAATCATCGTTCTGAACATACGAGGCGATTAACATTGGATTCTTTGCCTCCTGCTGGACAGCGGAATGGCGTCCTTTAATGGTGGAGAAGGCTGATGGGGGTCGGGGGGACTCAGTGGTGCATCATGAATAGGTGTTTGCAATTTGCAAGAAGCATGGAGAGAACATACAGCAGCTAGCATCGGAGTGTGCGGCCATTCAGGCGCACATGAATTTCTCCTCGATTCCGCCAGTGGCCGCCTTATGATTACGTATGAAGCACTGTCATCGTGAGATCAGGCAACGATATTGCTTGTGAACAGGAATGCGTGAGATGCAGCCCGCGTTTCCCAAGTCAGGTCTTGCGATGCCTCGCTCCCTGACCAAGTGAGCTTGGGAAGTGAGGGAATTCTAGGAGAGAGACATTGGTTCCGACATGTTCCGACGCTTCACGGTCAGACACGCAAGAACACCCAGCACTGGATCAAGATCAGCTCATGGAAGCAAGAAGAGTGTTATTATTTGTGTCTTCACTCGCATAGCAGCCAGGCACCCGCGCCTTGAGTTTTCATTGGCTGTGACTTTGTCAAAGCACTACGTTTTCTGAACACCTTGGTCATGGTCTATACGGGAGCAACACCCATGAAGGAGATCACGTGCCATGCCCCTTGAACCAGTGGAATTCATCAAGTTGGCGCTCTTCAAGTCTTTTTGCTCGGTCTGTTTTTACCTCGGAGGAAATGAATCAAATAGACATCCTTACATCCTCATTGAAGTGCGCTACATCAGTGAGCTACATCTTAGAGAGTATGGCCGCGACCGCTTTTAGCTGGCATGCTCGTGAGCTGCAATTCCTTTTCGTTTCACACCTGTGCTTTTGGGCAGGATGCCAAATCATACGAACAAAGTTCAGAGTCTGATAGTTTCCAGCAGATTGCGATTGCCCAAACCTGGCCCAGCAAATCCGCATTGTCGCCATCTCCTTCTTGCCGTTCCGAGGATTTGTGCCAGAAAAGCTGCTCGCAATGGAGAACGCATGTTAACACGCAGCGCCTGCTTAACGCTGCTTGCGAAGCCTTCATTTCTACACTTTGAAGCAGAACACATTAAGCAATACATCGATCAACCTCATACTGACTGTGACTGATAGCTGCTAGTTCCTCTTCGTGTTCTAGATGCATTAAGGAAGAATCGGACGCCCTGCATGCAACCAATTCAATCTTGAGGAAAGCGTTCCCTGCATGTCCAGTAATTACAACCAGATAGAAAAGGTCTTGTTGAGAACTTGTTAAAATCTTCTACTTTACAGTTGGTTAGAATGTGGAAGGCAGGGTTTTGCCAAAGGGAACGTGGAGATCGTGGAGACATATCATCTATTGCCGCTAGGAGTTGTGGGTTCGTGAGGAAGGGTTTCGAGAATTCACGAGGCATTCAGTCTTCAAGAAGGTCCAGCAAAGACACACAGCTACAAAAGTCTCTTAGCTTTTTGTGTTTTTGCCTTCAAAGCCCTCAGGCTTCCTTTGCTTGCACACATCATGATGAAACAGCGCACATGTGTTGTTTTTGCGTGTGATGCTTGATTATTACAACATGACCAAAGCATCTTTTCATGGGGTGGTTCAAGCCATACTTGAAAAGGTATAGCAGATTCTGTGGAATTATAGCTAGCAGCCAGCCAAGAGGCATGACATGCATGACCTCCGCAAGCTGCTGTGGAGATCGCATTCCTCTTCGATGTTTGTTGGTAATTGGAGGAGCCGTGGGCGTATCCTTGGTGACCTTCTCTACTCATGTCTTTGGGCACACAGATGCAGGGTTTGGATGCACGCGCAGCGGGCGCGTTCCTACCAGTCCAGCACTCAGTGTTCCTTCCATCTCAGCATCCAGCCATCCTCTTCTGGTGAAAAACGAAGACATGCGTTATTATGTGCATTTTGACCGCACGTTGATGCGCTATAGTCGCTCAATGTTGGCAAGCAGAGCAGAAGCGCCTCTGGGATGGTTCATGATCGAGCCTTCATATTCCTGTCCAAATGAAGAATTAGTGGGCAAATACGGAGATGGTGTTAAGTGGGTCTGTAACCCACGATCTCTTGACAATGCAGCGAGGGAAGCCCATCGAAAATGCGTAGTTTATTCCTTCGGTAGTCGTGGGGAGGACCAGTTCGAGCAGGACATCAGTCGAATTACAACATGTGAGATTCACACCTTCGACCCTACGGTAGCGAAGACGAGTGGGACGCTGCATCGTTATGCAATTGGTGTGAATGATAGTGAGCAGGGCATTATCCACACAAATGCAGCCAAAACCGACACAACTCACATAGCATACGTGCCTATGAAACGATTGAGTACCATCATGGAAGAGTTGAAGCACGACTTTGCAGATGTGATGAAGATGGACACTGAAGGCGCCGAGTTCGGAATCATTACGGACATGGCAGCAACAAATTCCATTGAGAAAGTGGGGCAGATGCAAATAGAGGTGCACTGGTGGGACGCTGCTGATCGGAAGCAGGTGTGGGATTTATTCGACATTTTAAACAGCCACGGGATGGTGGTTTTCCACAAGGAAAACAACATCATTTACAACAAAGGGTCTGAATATGCTTTGCTGCGTTTGGCACCGCGCCCGGACTTGTTCCGAGCATTCCCTCGCCAGACCGCAGCTTTATCTCAAGGCTTTGAAGCAGAACATTTCTTTGCAGAATATGTGCAGGTGCATAAAAGAGAGCGTGCTGCTTGCGGTCGAATACTGGTGTTTGATTGCAATTTGGACGTCAACTGTGGAGGTCTTGGTGACCGTGTTACAGGTATGGTGACTTCAGTGATGTTGTCCATACTCACAAACCGTGCCTTCGTGGTACATCAGGATTTCTTCCATGAGTCGTTTCAGCCTGCTGACCTGGATGTGGATTGGCGCTGGAGCCCAGAGCTGGAGAGCTGCACCAGTCAAGCTCCACTGTTTAACTTCGTGAACAAAAACAGAAATCCATATGCCAACTTTGAGGAGCTGCTGCATGATCACCCAGTTGTTCGCGTTGCAACGAATCGGGGAAATCTGCATCGGTTTTTGGATCATCCTATTTTTGGCCCGCGGTTTGCTAAGTTAGGATTCAACAAGTGCAACATGTTCGGCCAAGTGTTCGACAGGTTCTTTGAACCCACCCCGGCCCTTGCAACTATGGTGCAGCAGTTTACGGCGTGGGATGGGGAACTGGGCCAGAAGCCCACTCTAACGGTAGGAATCCATTTGAGGCTGGGCGACAAGTACTTCAATCCTGAAGCGGCTGCTGGACCAAATGAGGCGGGTATTTGTCAAAACTAGGGTTCCCCGCCCTATACTCACCAGAGCCACACAGTCCAGTGTCAGAGGTTCCCCAAAACCGAGCCACAACTCTCAGAAACTCTGAGGTACAAGTTTGGGACGAGACCTTCCGGTGTGCGAAGAGTGCGACATCTGCAGCGGCCGCGATCTGGGGTAGAACCAACTCTGGACCACAGGTCCCTTGGCTTAACGCAGCTATGTAAATCGTCATCAACCTGGTGCTAGCTTGAATGAATGCTAAGTAGTACTGTATTAGAAATGGGCATGCGCACAGTGTGAACAGACTTGCAAATGGTGATGATTTTGATCATCTGAGCCTCGCTGCAAGGAACAGCAGCCGCGCTTACCTCCTTACCTCCTTGTAAGCTGGCCATTCCCGGCGAATGAAGCGCGAATCACCAAAGCTAGCCTCCTGGGCTACCTGCCTTTCTTATCTCTAGATAGCGTGCAAACATGCCGTGCCTGGGGGGCGAGCCCGGCTCAGGCCTCCTGAGGTGCGGGCTTTGTTCAGCTAGACTGCGCGAGGGATTTTGCGGGGACACATATAGACCCAAATCAAGTTAGAGAAGATGCAATTTCGGGAGGCACAGGGGGTCTCGACACGACCTCTGTACTGGCTCAACAAGTCAGCACCTGCACTTGCTTTCGTATCAATCCTTCTCTCAATGCTGCTTCCACATTCAAGAACTATCGACTGAGCTGATACAGTCTGCCAGGGAAGGAAACAGGCCCCCAATCAACTGGAACGCTGCCGGCATGTCCTGGGTCCTGAATCAGTTTCGTTATGCAGAGCCACACATTTCAGAGCAATCGTATAGACTATACAGATACGAAGAATCAACTTTGCGGAACTCGTCAATAATTGTTGCCAGGTCCAGTACTTCGTCATGATGGACCATGCAGGGCTCAAGCAGCACGTTCGCACCAGGCATCGTCAAGACAATATCTTGCTGAGCGATGTAACGCCTGTGCACATCAATGGCAAGGAGTACAGAAAGTACCACAAGGCTGGCAAGGCCGGCGGAGCAGGGCATCGCCTCGCATTGCTGCAAACCTATGCGGAGTGGTACGCATACTCCCAGTCCAATTTGTTCATTTGGAACGAATCTAGTGGCTTCAGCCGCTTGTCTCTCATGCGCTCGTTTGCTTCAAGGCACGAACTCTTTCCTCAGTTTGGAGTGGTCCAGACAAAGGGCTGTTCGACCATTGGTCGCGAGGCTTGCCATTTTATGGGCAGATGGGGGGCTCGAGTGTAGTGACGAGAAGCTATGAGCAAAGAGCCAGTCTCCATCAGCTACCAGGAGTTTGAACCGATAGAGCGGTTCCGAGAGAAACTCAGCTTCGTACAGTCTGCACAAACAAGTGTAACGCACTTTGCCCCGGCCTTTGCGATGCTGGAAATTGTTGGGAAAAAGTTAACTTCTGAGTCTGCATACCGGCGTTGCAACAGCGGCCAGCCGGACAGCATCTGCAGCGCAGCATCAACTGGCAGGACTTCCCAGAGTTCCACGACAAGAAGCCGACCAGCTGTAAGGAAATTGCCACTATCACCCAGAACATGATGCGCTTCCGAAGAGCTGCTTCCCTATGCTAGATCGATGCTTTCTGAGTGCGGAGTGCTCCGTGGCTTTTGGCCGAGCTGCATAGCGGACATTATGCGTGGTAGGAACGAGGCTGGCCAGTGGTGCAAAACGGAGTGCGCTTGTCCGCTTTGGTCCATGTGTAGCCTCCAACGTGTCAGGTGATCATCAGCTTGCAGAAAACGCAAATATGATTACAGTCTCTTTGTATTCTGAGCGAGCTTAGAGCCTCCCAGACAGTGGAGCTGTTGTGTGGCCGAACCCTCACATGAGCTGCTCAAGCTGGTAGTTCTGAGCAATTCCCTGCACGAGACAAGAGGGTTTTGTTCAGAGGGGTGATTTGACCCAGGGACACGGAAAGCACAGACAAATGACAACTTGAGAATCGGGACAGAGAAACGCAGCTTGCACACTGTTTTGGCAGTGAGTTAGTGGAAGATACTACACGATTGTTCGATTGGGCTCTGTCACACGGGCCACGAAAGTGGAAACCATCCTGCCATTGATGCAGCGGCATAAGATCCTTTGACATCTTCTCGACCGCCAGAAGCAGAAACATCAAGCTTCCGTATTCAGTTTGCACAGTCTAATTGACGGTCAGCCAGGGTGCTATTGGTCATGTTTGTGCGCCAGCTGCAGGGCACGAGGTCCACACATAGTCGAACATTTCTTCGCTGAAAGCTTACCTTGTGCCAGCAGGTGGAGGCCATTGTGAGGAGGGCATGCTCAAGTGCTGTCCTTGCATTGCCCAAGCAGGACGGATTTTCAGAATCAAGGCGTCCCAGCCTTCCGTAAACAAACAGCAATCATGCTGAAATTCCAGGTTGTCCATTCTAGCTTTCTGATGAAGTCCGGATGTAGAAAATACAGCTTCGCAAGCTTGGAACGATCTTGGCAGAATTCAGAGCTTCCCCCCGTGAAAGCCTTGTGTTATGCATTTTCAGGCAACAAATCGGACCCCTCCCCAGGAAGCTGTATGCAAGCCACATTTCCATCATCCACCGTGTTCGTCCTGCTAATTAATGGATGGTACGATGTGGTTGCTTAGTGGTTTGAGAGTTTAGATGATAGTTTCCCTAAATAGCGGGACCCCTAACTCAGACCCCAAGCATTATAACCCTTATTATAGGGGCCCTCGAAATTGTACCCCTAATGTTCGGAAGCCCTAATCCCTATAAGCTGCTATATAATCCCAGTATCCATTTTGTGGTCCATTCTCCGTTCCATTTGATTTTCCATTTTTGGGGTACTATGTCTACGGTCCCTAAACTCTAAACCCCAGACCCAAAATCGTAGCTTCCATTCCCCTAAACCCTAAACCCTAAACTACATATCCATAGAACCCTAAGCAACCCTATATGTTTGGACTTGCAAGTGCAACCTGGAAGTCACCAAAGAGCACAAACACCCGCCTGGCTGGCAATAGATTTAAGGGCTGGAAAAGAAAATGGAAGCTACTAATTAGGGCTTGGAGTCGCTACCCCCAAAGAAGGCGCTGGAATCTGGGATTTTATTATTATAGTTGTTTATCGGGGTTAGGGTGTCCGAGGGTCCCTAAATTGGGGTCTCCTTATTCAAGGAAACTACCACATATCACCATTCTTGGACGTTTGTAGTCTGCATTGACAATGGCCTCCGTCAGGATATGGGCAACAAGAAGACATTGCGAGAGATTTACCGGAAGCTCATTGAGGCGCACTGGCCTAGACTGCCGATTGCTTGTTGATCCGCGCAAGGCAGATGTATGATTGTCATGTGCCAGAGCATTTTGGCTCCTTTCAGCTGCTTCCATGCAGGTGACGCGACAGGAAGAGTGTTGTGCTGCATGTAGAACAACTGCCGAGCCAGGCTTAGCTGCAACCCGCCATAAACCTCGAATGCTGCTGTTATGCTCCAACACTGAGACGGGTAGCGTGTATGAGGCATTCATAGCGGAAGTTCGATTGCTGATGCTTTGATGACCGCGCTACTGAAGTGTTGCAGAAGATGCATTTAGATCACTTGGGCTGGAGCATGAATGATCATAAGTGATGACGTCAGGGGTCGCATTGCGTGCTACGAAATTCTAGATGGAATCCCCATCTTCCTTGCCATTCCGTGGTTCTGGCAGCGAGAAGATGCGCGTCACTGGGCAGACTTTGCAGCCCACGTCTGCAACTGTTTTTTGCATTCCTTTTCATCTTAGCATGACGAAAATCCTTTTGGCAGTACGGGCCTCCAAGGAAGCAGTTTATGCTGTCAGACCATGATGAGCACTTGCCGGCGAGGCAGCTGCCGAGATCCTTGGTAAAGTGAAGATCAACACTGAAGCAAGTGCTTCAACGTTGCCTTGCGTGCTGTTCCACAAGGTTTTCATGGCTGTTCAATCTGGATTTCGCAATCCTTTGGCCTTTCTGTCCAAGCGCAGGAATAGGGACCGAAGGAAAGAAAGAAAGAAAAGCAACAAGCAAGAAAGAAATACAGCAGGAAAGACAGGAAGCACAATTCCATAATCCTTGTTATTGGGACCCCCAAAATGGTACCTGTTTCTGGGCAACAACAACCCCGACAGATAACAAAAACAGCCCCAGAATTGAATACTCCCACTGAGGGGGGAAATGTTTAATGCTAGCAAGTGAAGGTGTTGTATAGGAGGGGCAAAAATTTCGCCAAGGGCAAGGAAGAGGACAGGGAAGGAAGAAATGCATGGCAAAAAAGGCAGATCCCCGATCCCTGTTTGATCCGTAAGTTGTTGAATGATTTGGATTGGTGTCAGCATTGTCAGTGTTGCTTTATTTGGCATGGCTGGCATGACTGTGATTGATGCCCGTTCTGCTAGTCATGCTGTGACTTTGTTGTTTTGTGCTATCGTTGTTAATACTGCTGCCCAGTGCAACTTTATGACATGTAGTATCTAAGTATTTGATATGACTGGCCTTTTCATTGCTAGGCTAGTATTGGTATCCCGCAATCCCCCGGAAGCCCCGGGTGAAGCAAAGCCAAGCCTCACCAAAACAAGGCAAGCCAAGCATTCTGATCCTTGTCACGCCTGCTAATTGTCATGAGTTGTATACTTCTTCTCACTGTGTCGATGTCAACTGCTAGCATCGTCGTAAATTCATGGTGGTTATTAGCATCTACTACCACTACTGCTGTTGTTGCTCTAGTTCTTTTCTTCTTCAACTCCGATGAACATGACATGTTTTAGTAGCATCATTGTTATCAACTATGATCGGTGTTGCCTTAGTGCTATTGCTGCTGACGCAGAGTTATGTCGATGCTTATGATCAGAACGGTTTCTAGTAGTTGTTCCAAATAGTGTTTTTGTAGATGCAAAAAAGTGTTTTTGATCATACTTACACTGGCTTCGACATTGCTTCCCGAGTTAACAGCAGGGTCGCCATTTCTACTGAAGACTGCTTTTCCCTGGCTGTTCACCTTGATATGAGTAATTCAAGCTTAGCAGGTAGCAGCGTGAGTGGTTGCATTACACTGATGTTTCACTGGACTCTGGGACTTGCAATGATGATCCTGCGTACTCTTGGTATGACTGCCACTATGTACGACTTCAGGATTTCCAGTGTTTGGGCCGTAGGAATGACATCTATGGTCACCAATTGAGAGCATCAGTGAAGATTGCGCGCGCCCAAGCCCTAAAGCGTGCCAGCGCAAGAATGCATATGGGCCTAAAGCCATGAAAAGAACCTTCACTGCCAAAGCCACAAAATCTCTAAAACAATGAATCCAAAGACCGTGCAACACATGGCCCTCTAAGTCAAAATGCGGGGGTAAAACTCCAGGACCCTCAAAAAGAGGTGCCGCACACCTCAGAACCATTTTTCCGCCCAGAAATCGATTGTTTCTCATCTCTTTTATTGTTTGACAATTACTGTAGCACGTCCTGCGCATTGTTCAGGGGCCTTTGGTTAGCTGGGAATGAAGGAATGGAAAAGAACCTGGAAACTATTATGATGGTTTGTAAATGGACAACTATACGGATCCATTCCTCCCTGGCCAACCAAATGTAAGTCACTTGAAGCCCAAATGGTAGTCTCCTTGAATAGGAGGACCTCAATATAGAACCCAAAATACTTTCGCCCTTATTATTGGGACACCCAAAAAGGTACCCCTAATTTAGGGAAACCGGAAACCCTAAACCGTGTTACAAGACAAATGGTCATATATATCCCTTACATAACCCATATATCCTCAGCTCAGGGGCCATGGAGGATCGTGGCGGCGACAGTTGCCTTTGTCGGTGGCATGAGGCTGGCCTGGCGTTTTATTCATCAGGTGAGGGTTATTCTAGAGGAAATGTAGAGTTTAGGGTTTAGGGTTCACGTAAATTGGACTAAAGGAATAATGGAACAGAAAATGGAAACTACTACTTCAGGAAAGACAGAGAGAGAGAGGGAGAGACATCGGGGCTCAGGGCAGTGCCCTGACCTACCCATGGGGGTAGGTTCAGCCCGTAGAAGAAGAAGAAAGAAGAGAGAGAGAGAGAGAGAGAGCGAGAGAGAGAGAGATATGTATATATATATGTATGTATATATATGTATTACCCCCATGATGGAGAATCAAATGGAAAAGAACATGGGCCGTGAAATGGAAACTGGGATTATATGGTGGTTTATGGTGGCTTGGGGTTTCCCAAAATAGTATAGGGTTTAGGGTTGTCCTTGACATCACCAAAGAAGAACATGGGATCTCGGTTGAAACGTTCTGAACAACGTGGAAAAGGAGAAAAGTCACGCTGCTAGGGCACGTTATTCGAGCTGGACATGACGATCCGATGAGACAAGTGTTATTTGAACTCCTCACAAACATACCACGATACGAATACAAACGACCAGGGAAACCGAGAGCTTCATGGCTACAAGAATCCTTTAAAGACGCTTTCTGTATGCTGGGGAGAGAAGAAGACTACGATGCCAATAACCACGAACATACACAATACATAGTACATAATGCAACAACAAGACAAGGAGTTTTCGCTACAAATCGGACACGCTAAAAGCACACACCGAATACATCGTTACCAGCGAATACCAAAGAAGACCACCGAGAGTCATCACCGAATGTCATCACCGAATGCCTTCACCGAAAGGTTTGACTGAGGCCAAGCCAGCTTGTACTTGCACCTGGAACACTGCTGCTGAGCTGCATTATATTCACCAGAGTACCAGAGAACTAGGACAACACAAAACCTTGTTCCCACATCCAAACAGACAATTAATGCTTCCTTTCTCTGCAACATGGTACGCATATTGGCTCATACATCTCGCTACGCAGAATTTCTACTAAGATCCTACAAGGCAATCACTTGTTTAATGTATAGATAGAAGTACCCTTCCGCAAGTTTCACTACACCTCACATGAAAAGAAATACAGCGATCCACACCATACTTTTGGTCTACACGTGAGAAAAACTAAGGGATATATAGCGCTTGTACACGGTTTAGGGTTTAGGCTTTCCCAAAATTAGGAGTACCTTTCTTGGGGTCCCAATAATAAGGATTATCGTATTTGGGGAGACTATTTCAGGGTACCATTAATTATGGAAGCTACCATTACTGTTGCTGCAGTAGTGGGAAAATCACTGGCAGGCAACTTCTGCCAACCTCACGCAGCTTTGCAATGCCTCGGCGTGAGTCTCGGGAGTCGCCAAGGCCTAGTTGCTTAGCTTGTCTCCTTCCCTCTTGCGCTGTCTCAGTCTCCCTGTTTCTTTTGCTTGGTTACTTCCCTTTTTTGACTCCTCCTATCTTCATCTCTGTCTGCCTTCCTGTCTTGCTGTCTTCTCTCGTTTGCGCTCTTTGTTTCGGAATGTGTGTGTGTGTGTGTGGATGCCCGACCAAGGGTTATGAACACCTCACATGTTCAGGTTCTCCATATGTGCACGTGTTTTCCAGCAGGTTTTCGTATGTTTTTCAGCAGGGGGCACCTGGGGGAAGGAATGGGGCAGGTGCCAACGAAGACACCCATCCTGACCCGTGATATAGGAGTGGGACGCCACTCCTGCGTACCTGCTGAAAAATTTGAAGCGTGCTTCAGAGATCAGATCTATGCCTATGATCCATGTTGAAGCCGAATTGCAAAAACCTAGCTCGCATCTCCAAGATCGTGCAGGTCCGAGTGCGATGAGCCATGGTTGATCTGATTCGCAAGTTATTTTCTTGTCAACTTGACTCCAGCTTAAAAGTGTGTGTCTCTGTGTGTGTGTGTGTCTCTCTCTCTCTCTCTCTAAGCACTACCACGGCTCGAATCAGTCCTACTAGCCGGACACTAGCTGCATGGTCTCTTGCTTGCCATGTTTGTCGCTGATGATCCTGATTACATGGCAAATGGCATTCAGTGC